GGGCGCCGGGGCCGAGACCCTTTGGCCGCGGGACGCCCTCCTCTTCGCCGTGGACAATCTGAACCGCGTGGAGGGACTGCTGCCCTACAACCTGTCTCTGGAAGTCGTAATGGCCATCGAGGCGGGCCTGGGCGACCTGCCGCTGCTGCCCTTCTCCTCCCCTAGCTCGCCGTGGAGCAGCGACCCGTTCTCCTTTCTGCAGAGCGTGTGCCACACCGTGGTGGTGCAGGGGGTGTCGGCGCTGCTCGCCTTCCCCCAGCGCCAAGGCGAGATGCTGGAGCTGGACCTGGTCAGCTCGGTCCTGCACATCCCGGTCATCAGCATCGTGCGCCAGGAGTTTCCGCGGGAGAGTCAGGTGAGGGGTCCGGTGCGCGCCGCCGAGACGGGCGGCGCTGGGGGCGGGCCCCGAGCCGGGAGGGCGTGGGGCGCGGGGAGAAGGAGCCGGGGGAAGTCCCGAGGGAGTAGGGGCTTGGGAACTTTGTTCAGTGGTGGACCGTATCTGTCTGTGGTAGGTAGGGGCGATCTCGGAGAAAGTAAAATACAATACGTTAAGGGCGGATGGAAGCGACGTGTGAAGTGGGGATGCAGGGACCGGAGAAGGAGGTGGGGAAGGTTAGGCGATCGGTACGTCGGAGCAGCTGGGGGAACTCTAGTGAACGCTCGAGGAAGTAGCAGCAGTCGAGGTTCAGAATAGTGGGGAACCCAGAGGTTCTGGGGACTAGAGCGGACGCTGGACTTTGGGGGTGGGGACCCCCCAATCGCTGCTAGCATCCCCTGGTCTCCGGAGAGGAGCTCTACCGCCGTGCGGCGGAAGGAGCAGCAGCTGCGCCCCTTGACTTCTTGAGGTGCGCCTGAGCCTTGGGCTGTGGCCTACGGAAGAAAACAGGGCATTTTACTGACCTCCTTTCAGTGAATGGAGCATCTGTGTCCAGTACAGAGGAAATAGGTAGAGAAAGGGGGTTAGTGAGACTGACCCTAGAATGCGCTCGAAATCGCCCGAAAATAGAAGGGGGAGTGCCCCTCGGAGAACTGCCTCTTTGTCCCTCCTTCCTTTCTGGTGGAGACTCGAGGCTGTTGTGCAGGGGCTGCGCGCCCCCGTATCTGCTCCCAAGATGTAAGAATGAAGGAAGAGGAGTCAAGCGATTTCGTTTCTTATGGGTTTAAAATAACAATAATAATGAACTACTAAATATGTTTTCCATGGAAGAAGCTGTTTGTGAACTTAACTGTTGACAAATGGTAGATAAAGAAGGGGAGGGTGGGTCCTTGCAGCAATGGGAATGTTCTGCTTTTTATGTATTATTTTTATCATAATATCAAGCTGCATTAAGGCTTGCACAAGGTGCTTATGAAACAAACAGATCATTGCCGTTGGCCCCATTGTACAGACTGAGAAACTGAGGGAAGTTCTGGAGGTTGATAAACGTTGGTGACTGTGCTAGTAAGAGAGTCCCGACCCTGGAGGATTTCTGACTCTAAATCATTTTCACTCTATCCCTTTAGCTGGATAAAATCAAAAAACCAAACTCACTATCATGAAGTCAATTCCAACTCATAGCAACCCCCACTGGGTTTCCAAGGCTGTAAATCTTTAGGCAAGTAGATGGAGCAGCTGGGGGGTTTGAACCCCTGAACTTATGCTTAGCAGCCAAATGCCTTATCCACTACACCACCAGAGCTCCTTTCTTTAGAAAAATTATTTCTAATTTTTCCTTTTTCCTCTCTTGATATATATAGAGATTAAAACCTCAGGTGAGGAAGGGTAACATGTAAGTCAAAAGTTTGGTAGAACCTATGCATAAAATATCAAGGGAGCACTAAAGATTTCCGTTTCTAGAAAAACGAATCTTACATTTTTAATCTTGAGAAGGGTGGGAGTAAGCTGCTTGCAGCAGTTGCCTAGATGATTCCTATTTAATGCTGAACTATAGAGATTTGATCTGCAGAGTGCAGGCTAATTAACTTTTATCTAAAATATTTCCGTCACCTGAATCTGAATGACTGTAGGCAGCAGATGGGAAGGCTTGGAAAACACAGGTGCACAATGCCGCCAATGGCCGAAGTGTTCTAAACATGAAATTGCATCCATAGGGTGCATCATTATTAATATATATGCAGAGCGGCCTCTAACAAAACGCACGACTCAGCACCACTGGCTTCTCGTCACGGCTTCTTTATTACCTAATACTTTACAAGGTGCCAATAGTGTTCAGTCTCCAAGCTCCTTCCATTTGTAGATGGTTTGGCAACAGTCTCAAATGGCAAGAAATTGTCCCCAAATTAGTGTTCCTTGGTTAGAAGGGAGATTGTCAGTGGTCCATGATGGATGTGTGAGTACACGGCACATTACAACATGGGGAGCAAAGAAACCATAAAGCAGCATCTAGAATCAGTAGGTGTCAAAGCTTTAAGACCAGTGGGGGAACAAAATACTCCAGAGACGGCCCTTATAAGCCGACGATAAAATAAATGCTCTGCCAAGCACATTGAGTTCTGTATTTCAATCCAGAGGTGTATTTTAAATCTCTGTTGTCACTGTTACTTTCATTGTACACATGCTGAAAGGGAGAGATTATTGTATTAACCCAGATCTAGCTTGCCCAACTGAGGGCATTTTCTGAAATCTCTGTTTGAGTTTTAAATTCGAACATACCTAACTTGTCTTACTTTTACTGTATCATTTAAATGTCATTCTTTAACGTTCTGTATTAAGAATGTCCAGCTCAATGCCAAGCCACCGTAATGTGTAATTTTAGGATATTACCATAATCTCCTTTGAGCAAAAATAGTAACTGATTTTTCCTCACTTCTCCTGATAAGGGGACCTTTGTCTAAAAGAATGATGTGAGTTTGTAAACTCTCTGAATACAAAAGACACCAAAGTTATTTGACACATTAAATAAAATTGACTTAATTGAATCCCTGTAGCCACTGTCCTCCTTGGGGTCTACTGCCCAATGATCTAGTTTGTTGATTGTGTCAATACCTGAGGGAAGGAATTTAGAGGGAAGTGGACTTGTTCACACAACAAGTCAAATATTCTCACCAAGAAAATAAGATAATGTTTCTTACTCGGAAATATCAAAATCGTTTTTAGGACAGAAGCAGCACTGTTTCCCAGTGCCTTTTGGGCTGCTGCTTTCTTTCATATGAAGGCTTTAATTAGTAAGTAATGGTTTTGATAACATCCCTACACAAGTCTCGAGTGGATAAAGATACCACTGAGATGATCAAACCACCGAGACAAACATAATAGTTTTATTTCCATAGATGTATTCAAAACATAAACATAGGATCATGAGCTTAGAAGAAACCAATTTACTTAAGGCAGGAAACCCATCACAAGTAAATTAACTATCTGCTTTTGGAAACCTCATGGGCGTATCATAAAAGCTCAGTGTAACACCATTACACATGAGATGGGACCAAAGCAGGTCTCCATCCAAAAAATTCTGACTTCACTACCACACTCCAACCCCCACCTGAGGCTAACCTGTATTATTACAATGAACATGTCTTAGTCCTAAATTCTCTTTCCATGGCCTTCGAATAATGATGCTACATATGGAGCTAGATCCATTTACATTTAACCCTTTCAAGGTGGTATTATGTCTTGCTTTGAATTTTTTGTGGAAACCATGTGTTTTCAATAATGGAAGGCATCTTGAATGAAATGGAAAATAGTGTTTTTGGAGGTAATATGGATTTTGATACAATTAGTGGGACATTATATACAATTAGAGACCCCAAGGTGTCTCTAGTGCTGGGGTTAGTGGGATGAAACCCACTTCTTCAGATTCACACAGTTACAAGACTCCTACCAGATGACAGCATTCACTAAGCATGGGATAGCAGCTTCCCACTAAACCCCAGAGACAGAAAATGTATGTGGTCACCAAAGAGTTAGCATTAAGTTTCTGCTGTTGTCCTTTCTTTGCTTTTGTATACTTTCTCCACAGTCAACTCCTTAAAATTTACCTGCTGAGGTAGCAGCAGATACACAGTTTTTCCCAAGATTCATATCTCATGTTAATTCCATAATGTTTCCATTAGCCAGGGTTAATGGAATACTATAATTGGCTTAAATCCAAACCCATGCAATTCAAAAGTGACTGCACTATTTTCAACTCTTGTTGAATGCACCAACCACAACTTCACCTGTTTCATGAATTATTTACACCAACTAATTAATAGTGTTTATTCCCATGCAAACACAAGTGTCTTAGGTGGTCCATTTTATCTGCCAATACAGGACTAAGTACTGCAGCCTATTTATTAAAATTTGGCAAGCACAGAGCCACTGTTGTATGCTACAGGAGACATAACACTGATCCCACTACGTACCTCAGAGGCCTCATGAGAGGACAAGTAAAGGACGTTTATTTTTAAACCATCTGCTCTCAACTGCCTTGGTTTTCCTTGACCTGCTCTATGCAAAGCACAGCCCTCTCCTTTGTGGAAAATGCATTCTTCTGCAATTCGTGATGAATGGCTGATAGTAGCACCTAATCGTTGCTGACTTGAAGATAAACGATTTCAAATTAAATGTCAAGTGATGCAAAACTTTTCTTAGTATTCTTTTATAGGTGTCTGTTGAAGAAGGGAGACTTGGGGTTAATTTGGATGTTTTGTTTTGGGTGTGTGTGTGTGTGTGTGTGTGTGTTTGAAATTTATTTATGATACTTATTTCTCTGGATAAAAAGAGCAGAGAAGGCTAGCAGACATCATTCACTGGACAGTTAGTCATTTAAACCATAGAGAATATACTTGTTCTCAGTCTTCCTTGACCTTTATGTCTGGAGTTAGCTTGTAACTGATTCCAAACCAAAACCAAACTCACTCCCATTTAGTTAATTCCAACTCATAGCAATCCCCGTTGGGTTTCCAAGGCTGTAAATCTTTCTGCAAGCAGACCGCCCCATCTTCCTGCCGCCATGACTGACGAGGTGAACTAAATAATTGAATCTTCTGAAAACCAATTTTAATGCCTAATTCCTTAATGTTTTAGCTTTTGGTGTTGCAAAGACACCGGGGTTTTTGTGGTGTTGGATTTTATTTTATAAATACCCCCAGTCAAATTCCAACCACTCTGGTTAAAGAGCACAATGTAATGGAAAGTGTATGAGGTAGTGTCAAAGGACTGCTCCCGGCAACCCATGCGTCTTACTAGGTAGATAGTCTTGGACAATGGATTCTGTTTCTTTGGCTTTTATGGTCTTCAGTCAAAAGAGGGTCCTGTGTTAGTTATCTACTGGTGCTGTAACAGAAGTGCCACGAGCAGGTGGCTTTAACAGATTTCTTTTCTCTCAGGTTAGGAGGCTAGAAAAACGAATTCAGGGTGCTAGCTCCAGAGGA